ATGGATAACCTAGAAGGCTAAAGCCAATGTGAATAGTGGAGAAAATTCTCCCACGGAAGTGCTACTTGAGCTGAGATTTTTAAACTGATGTTATGCTAAGAAAGCAAGTGAGTAAAAAACAAGCCCTCTTGGCAGGGAAACAGCTAAAACAGGAAAGAGTGCAGCCTGTCTGAGGAAAGGAAAGCAGGAACAATGGTGGAGGGTAGAGGGAGGTGGGGACAGGCTGAAGGAAAACCCTGGAGCAGCATTCTTAAGTACTCAGTAAATCCTAGGCCATTCTGTACATAGTTTCCCTTAAGAAACCAGTTTCTCTAATCCTCATCACTACCATCTCTGTTTTAGAGGTCTAGTGACCTGTGTTAAGGGAACAAAAGTAAACTGTGGCCACTAAAGAATTTTAAGCAAGTTAGGGCAGAGGGCTGTTGTGAGTAGACACGTATTTCGAAACACCGACTGACCAGAACCATGTGCAGAATGTCTTGGAGTAGGATACAGAGGCTCTGGAGGAAACCATAATTGTCCAGGTGACACGTGATGATGCGTCAGTGGATGGCAAGGGAGACCAGAGACGTGAACAGATGCAAGTACCTTAGCGACTGGCTGTGAGGATGGGGCCAGGGAAACACCCGGATGACAAGTCGACGTGGGTCCTTCTCTCAGGAGAGGGTCTCAGGGCAGTTTTGAACACATTAACCTTACATGACTTTAGGGCAGAGGTTCTCAACCTATGGGTCCCGACCCCTATGGAGGTCAAATGATGCTTTCACAGGGGTCGCCTAAGACCATCAAAAAACACAGATATTTACTTTACAATTCCTAACAGTAGAAAAATTAGTTATGAAGTACCAATGAAAATAACTTTACGGTGAGGGTCACCACAACATGAGGAGCTGTGTTAAAGGACCACAGCATTAGGAAGGTTGAGAGCCACTGCCGTAAGGGATAAATGTATAATCGCTTATCTAGTATAGGCTGAGTATCTGTGATCTGAGACTCTTGGGACCAGAAATATTCTGAATTTGAAGATTTTGTTTTCAGATTTTTAGAATACACACACACACACACCACACACACACATACATATATATCTGAGACATTGCAGGGGAAAAAAAAACCCTAATATTAAACCATGAAATCCATGTTTTCATTCTATGTATAACTATACACATAACCTAAAAGTAATCGTATGCAATATTTTTAATAATTCTGTGCAAGGGGATCTGCACCATTCTTCCACTCAGAGGCATCTGTGTAAATTAGCTTTCCCTGAATTACTGCAGTGACTTCACAGTTCAAAAATTAATGTTCACTGAAATTTTTATACTCTGTCTTTGATTCTGTGTATATGTAGGGGTAGGGTATGAGCTCATGTGAGTTTGAATGCTCATAGAATGAGAAGATTCAGGTCTCCCAGAATTAGAGCCGTACACAGTTGTGGGCCACGTGGTGCTGGGCTGGAAACCAGGCTCAGGTCCTCTGCAGGAGCAGTACATGCTCTTATCTGAGCCATCCCTCCAGCCCCTCAGTATTTTACTACTATGGTGTATTAAGTATATAATCTCTCTCACTGGCCAACGTCTACCTACTACCAAGCAAATGAATGAAAATCCAGTCACCAACAGTGACCATCATTCTAATGCTTTAATTGCCTGACCAAAGCAGGAACATCCAACGGTGTTGAAATCTGCAATGATGCCTGCTAGCTTTGAGCAGGAGGGAGGCCTCTGAAATGCCAGGTCCATGTTTCCACAGAGGGAGACAAAATATGAACTCTGGTACAACTGGAATCATTCCTTTCAGCACAACAGCTCTCAAATCGCTTGGATCATCATTCATAAATGTTCAGTTTTATCATACAAATATCTCTACTGTCTGTGTGGGGAAACTGAGGCAGAAATTTTATTGAAAACATCCATCAGAGAATGACAGGGCAGCATATTTGAGCTATAACAGACCTGGATTCTTAGTTTTCTGACTATATTGCGTTAGTTGCCTTTCATACATGTGATAGTCAATCTTGGCTGTCAAATTGATTAGACTGAAATGCATTTAGATTAGTAGTGCACATTTTCAGGCATCTGTGAGCTTGTTTCCCAGGACAATTAGGTCATGCTGTTTTGACCAACTCAGTTATTTAAACTATGGATAGATTCAAAATCTGAAGGGACTACTAAGATGTGGTAGGACCAGAGAAGAATGAGAAAGAAATGCTGGTTTGCTTACTCTAACAGAGGTCAGGTCAAGAGTTATTGCCATGTTCAAAGTACTTAATCATTAGGAAATAAAATAATAATAGCTCCCATTCACATTCTTTTTTTTTTTTTCATTGTGGCTCAAAGTTTATTTTCATTCTTCAGTATATTAAGCATGTTTTATTTTATTTTATTTTTTATTATTAGTTACATTTTATTAACTCTGTATCCCAGCTGTATCTGCTCCCTCATTCCCTCCCAAACCCTCCCTCCCTCCCTCATCTCCTCCCTGCCCCTTTCCAAGTCCACTGATTGGGGAAGGCCTCCTCCCCTTTCATCTGATCCTGTTTTTATCAGGTATCTTCAGAACTGGCTACAAAGTCCTTTCTCTGATTCACAGACATTCTTGTGCAAAGGGAGTAAGAGATCAAGGTCACAATAACAGTGACCATAAAGGCATGACAGCTATTTACCCTGTACTGAGAGCTTATCAGGATTTTAAATACTAAAATGTATTGTAAATATATTTACAAGAATATATTATGCTCTTTGATAGCATGCAGGAAGAAAAACTGAGTGGCAAAAAGGCTGAGAAATTCATGAAGGTCCCAACACTAAGAGGTAATGATAAGAACCTGATTCAAAATGCCTTACCTGAATCTGTTTTTTTTTTGCCAGTACTAGGGACTGAAGCTAACTCCTCAAGCACACTGTGGAAATGCTCCACAAAATTAATTAAATCCCTAGCCCCCTTTTCACTTGTGCACATGCGGGTGTGTGTGTGTGAGAGAGAGAGAGAGAGAGAGAAAGACAGAGACAGACATAAGGGTTAACTTTTGTCAGCTTAACACAAACTCAAGTCACCTGGGAAGAGAGAACCTCAGTTGAAGAACTGCATCCATCAGATTGCCCTGTGGGCACACTGTGGGGTATTTTTCTTATTAATGAATAATGTGCTCAGTGTTTCCTCTGGCCAGGTAGTCCTGAATTGTGTAAGAAGGAAAACTGAACCTGAGCCTCTGTGTGAGCCAGTAACCAATGCTGATGGTGTCTACCTCAGTTCCCGCCTCCGGGTTCCTACCTCAAGTTACTTCCTGCCTTGGCTTCCTTTCATGATGGACTGTAGCCTGTCAGCAAATAAGCCCTTTCCTCTCCAATTTTGTTTTAAAAGCAAAACGGGAGAGACAGGGTCTCAGTAAGTTTTAAACTTGGCCTTGAACTTGCTGTGGTAACTCAGACAGGTTTTCTCTTTGTGATCCTCCTGCCCCAGCCTTTCAAGCAGCTGTACCAGGAAGCTCCACACACTTTAATTATGTCCATCTTTAAAACTCAAAATATTTCAGCAGTGTTGGCCACAGACCAAAACTAGTTTCCAAAACATTAACTGCTCCCCTGAGAAGGGTATGCAGTATCAGATATTATAGAGTCCTAGAACAGCTTCCCAAACAACTAGAAATGTAAAAATTTAGGCTTCTGTCAATGCTAAGTAATGGAATGGAATAAACTCAGTCTGAACATTATGCCCACTGTCACTTTGGGAAGAGGAAGAAGATTGGAGAAGAAAACAAATCATTCCGTACTCTGGGAAATTTTGACTCAAGAAACCAGCGGGGGACAGGCACGCATTTGACCAGACCAACAGTATGAGTTGAAATACTGTGATCCTTCTGTATGCCTCACCAAAGTTTTTCAACTGAGCTACAAGAAAAGGAAGATTAGGAATTTGATTAAAAAAAATCACGAAAAAAAAGTTGGGCAAAGTCCACTTAACTCACCAATATGACAGGGCTGCTGTTTCAAACAGGAAAATGGAAGGGGGGGAAGCTAGCTTATATGTAGTAAAGCTCTGGTGGACTTGAAGCAGCCCCTTCTCAATGTGAGACCTCATTTTATTCAGCTAAGAACTGGAGTTTTTGTCACTAAGAAAGAACTAGAAAAAGTAAATGGATGAGGTTCCCATGTGGAGTAAATGGAGATACTGTGATGGTCTCTTCAAATAGCAAAGGCCTCTGTGAGTGCTTCGCAGAGGTCACAAGAATTCAACTGGAAATCATTATCACAGATAAATAAGCTTGGGCTGCTGATGTAGTTCACAGCAGAACACTTGCCTAGCACACACAAGACCCTAGTTAGATTCTTAGTACCACAGAGAAGGAGGAAGGGAAGGACAGAGGAAAGGGAGGAAAGGAGAAAGGAAGGAAGGAAGGGACAGAGAGAGGACAGATGGATTCATGGTGGTTTAAATGAGAAATGTTTCCCACAGACTCATATGTTTTAACAGATTGTCCCCAGTTGGTGACAATGTTTGGAGAGGTTGTGGAACATTCAAGGGGTAAAGCTTTGGTGGGAGGCAAACATCACCGGAAGCAGGCTTTGAAGGTTTATAGCCTCACCCCTCTGCCTGCCCTGCTTCTTGTGTGTGGATGAGATATGATCTTCCACTTCTTGATCCTGCCATGCCTTCTCTGCTCTTATGTACTCCAGCCCTCCTAGAACCATAAGCCAAAATAAACTCTTTTCTTCCTGAGTTTCATTTGATGGTGGTATGTTATCAACAGCAAAGTAAAGGAACTATCACAGAAATCTGTGGTTTTAGGAAAGAATTCTGAATGCAAGTCACATGCTGAGTCTGAATCCAGCTCCTTTGCAGAACTGGTGGTGCTTTTATCATTCATTGAGCTACAAGTGGCCTTTGTCCCCAGAGAAGCGGTATAACCCCTATGTTGGCTTAGGGTCCCTGTGCCATGCGCAGTTCAGCTTCCCCATCCCCTGCGGTATGCAGAGCAGAGGACTCACCCAAAGCTTTACCTTGCTGCTTTTGCATGGTAGTGAAGTCCTCAAAGGTCAGTGTGCGCACGGGAGGTCTCCAGAATGCGTAAGTCTCCATGATGGCTTCAAGTCCAGTTCTGGAATAAGAACAGCCAGAAAATCAGCTTGGAATTAATCGCAAAATGTCAGGAGTTGTCTGATCAGTGGCATACTACAGGCACTGAGAGAAGTTAGCCTGGGAAACTGTAAAGTCCAGGTGCTGTTACACTGCTGGAGGAAGAACAGAGGAAACTAATTCAGATCACTCACAAGAAAGGCCTTAACCATGATAAAAACTTAACTCTGGTTTTCCTTCCAAAGAGGCTCAATGGGCATAATAACAAAGTGTATTTAAGGTCAAGGCTATCGTGAGTACAGTTGAGTAAAGAGTAGCACCGACTGCTTCTCATGCTACCACCATTACCTCATAGCTGACACATCCTGTCCCAGAGCCAACTTCACATCCAGAGTGTGTGAAGGCTCAATGAAGCTGTCAAGCTGATGTGACTTCAAAGTTCTATTAAGCTAACAGGGGGTGGGGGGAGGCAACAGAAATAGGAGAAGAGCAAACAATACGCTCAAGATTTTATTGTAGCAAGAAATAGCTACCCAAAGGAAAAAAGGAAGCACACAACAGGCAAAAAGAGCAGACTGTACATCCAAATGCCTTATTTTCATTTGTAACCTAGCAATTGACCATTAAGAACCATGCAAATGGTGGGATCTAGAAAAGATCATTCTGAGTGAGGTATCCCAGGAGGAGAAAGACAAACATGGTGTATACTTGCTTATATAGATCTACAAGATATAATAAACATAATGAAGTCTATACATCTAAAGGAGATAAACAAGAAAGCAGACACGAGGTAGGATGAACAATCCTCACTTAGAAAGACAAATGAGATGTGCATAGGACATATGACAGTAGTCTACCACAGAAGGCATCTGAAAGACCCTACCAAGCAGCATTTCAAAATAGATACTAAGACCCATAACCAAACCTTCGGCAGAAGGGGAGTTAATATGACAGGGAAAGGATAGGATCCCCACAAGGACCAAATATATCTTGGCACAGGTGATTTTTTTGAAACTGTTTCTCCAACCAAGGACCATGTATGGATATAACCTAGAACCTTTACTCGGACGAAGCTCATGGTAGCTCAATAACCAATTGGTTTCCCATAGTAGGGGGAACAGGGACTGTCTCCGATAGGAACTCAATGGCAGGCTCTTTGACTCCCCACCCCCTAAGGGAGGAGCAGTTCTGCTAGGCCACAGAGGAGGACTTCACAGCCAGCCCTGAAGATATCTGATAAAACAGGGCCAGATGAAAGGGGAGGAGGTCCTCCCCGTCTGTGGACTTTGAAAGGGGCAGGGAGAAGCTGAGGGAGGGAGGGTGGGATTGGGAGGGAATAAGGGAGCAGGATACAGCTGGGATGCAGAGTTGATAAAATGTAAATAATAATAACAAACAATAAAAAAAGGAACCATAAACTGTCAGATCTTAGAAAGTATCTAATATTTCAAAATACATTCATTCACAGCTTCTGTTTAACTCGTGTTGTAGAAGCCGTAAACTGGACTACATCCACACTGTCTCTTTACTGTTCAACTACTTCCTTGTATGAAGTACTGAAATGATTGCCCAGGTGACTTCCTGGATGTTGCTGACGATATGCAACATCCTCAGAACAGAGTGTTGGTTTGGCACTCTGCTGAAAGCTTTGAGTAAAGCTTTTGTAGATTTACTTCAAAACTGTTTCTCCTATGTCGGGAAGGGGAAGGTCAGGGACCATGGGGGGAAATAGAAGAATGGGGAATCACGATGGAACCATATGTCTCTCTGTTGTGAAGTCACCACAAAGGACATGATGAGTCTCTTAGGAGCAGACAGGTCTTTCCTGCTGAAAGCAGTATGATCTTCTACCTGAGTAATGCTCTTGCCCAACTCTGTTACATGCCAAGAATAAAGTGGGGGGTTTTGTTCTAAGTGAGAAGCAATGCCACATTCCTATATCTGTCAACAATCCCCTGGGCATTCTTCTCAGATGAGCCATTGGCACACTGATGGTCTCTTAGTGTTGGAAAATTTGCTTTCTGAACAGGCTTTATTTGCACACTTTCTAAAGTCTTTCCTGGATCTTAGAGGCTTTAAATACTTTGATGCTGGCAAACCAAACTCTGTATTTTAAGAAGAGGTTCACAGGAGAGAGCACTGCATGGTGTTTATTAGCTGTTAATCTGTGAGAAGCAGGAATAGGTGGTATCTCTACCATTACTTTGGTCCTGAATACAGTTTGTGGAACTATTTGTGGATAGAAAGAGCTCAGGCAATTAAGGGAGTTCAGAATAATAAGGAGATAGGCAGATAAATCCATGCTGAGCCTTGGCAGAGAGAAGAAACAGATAGGCCCAGCTTAGATCTGACTGCCTTGTCCTGGAATGTGGGCAGCCCACCAGAACAGTCAAAGGATTCCCTTTAATGGCACAAAAGGCTCGCTGTTGATGACAAGGTTTTACTGTTCCACCTTCCAGTCCATCTTTTCCAGGGACAAATGTACATTATAAGGATAAAAGCTAACACAAGGACAAAGAACAATCCCTTCTCATTTCATAGTAAAGTGCTAGGGAACTATAAAGTTTCAACAGTAACATAGTATAATGGCAAAATACTATGTATTGAGTAGAAATAGATGTGGTTTCTTTTTCCATAATACTATTTTGAAATACTACGGTATGGTATACATTATTTTATAAGTAGTCAATTTTATACTATAAAATAATGACTATGCATCAACTATCAAATATAACTTCAAAACAGTGATGGAATCCTATATTTAAAATTTAGGAAGCTTCACAGATGTTGTGTACTCCATCATTTCTGGCATTTTTTTTCAATGGTTACCCAGCCTCTATGGAATCATTTCCTTGGGAAGGGGTCCTGAGTTTTATTAGGTCTGTTATTAAGCTACTTCTGACATTTGGCTGAAATTTCTAATGTAATTAATTTTCATCCTCTGGTGAAGTGATGACAGTCTCACACATTGCCCATGAAGCATCCTTCTTCCACAGCCTCCTCAAGGACACTTTCCTTAGCCTAAGACTACAGCATGCCACAGATAGACAAACTCATAGCCATCCAGGAGTTCATGTAACAGAGGGTTTCTCATGGCAAAGGCATAGGGAGAACATTTGTAACCATCCCACCAAAAATTAGTGGTAAAGAACATAACATTACTAATTGCACCTTTTTACTGAAGTATATCTTTCATGGATTTTTACCATATATAAAAAATATATAAATTAGCCTTTAATACGCATTCTCCTGTGTGAAATGATAGAAATCTCATTCATTTATATTATTTAGTCTTTTATGTATTCTGAATGTTTCTCTTTTTAGAAGAAAATAATCATATTTATTTGCTATGCCTTATATTTTATTTGTCTCAAACCTTGTCCAGTTTCACTGATTAGATCTAAGTAGTAGAAATCACTAGTACTGTATCTCAGAATTTAGAATAGGGCCATGGCATGATTTAACAGCCCCCCTCTTTCTACAGCTGGCTTGTATGTATTCAAGGGATCAGAGTCAATGTTTTTTCTTTTGTCCAAGTGCTTAGCACAATGCTTGCTGCACAGTGTGTCTCAATTTATATGCATTGAATAAATAAAAAAGTGTCACTATTTTATAACTCTAACAAGAGTCATTTTCTCATGTTGAGTTAATTAAGTAGAGGAACTATATCATAAGCTTTAGCTAGTATCTATTCTTTTTTCTAAGCTTGAATTTTTTTTTTTTTTTAATGGCAGAGAAACACTTAAAGAAATGCTCAACATCATTAGCCATCAGGGAAATGCAAATCGAAACAACATTGAGATTTCACCTTACACCCATCAGAATGGCCAAGATAAAAAACTCAAATGACAACACATGCTGGAGAGGTTGTGGAGAAAGGGGAACCCTCCTCCATTGCTGGTGGGAATGTAAACTGTTACAACCACTCCGGAAATCAATCTAGTGCTTTCTCAGACAACTAGGAATAGCGCTTCCTCAAGATCCAGCTATACCACTCCTAGGCATATATCCAAAAGAGGCTCAAGTGCACAATAAGGACATTTCCTCAACCATGTTCATAGCAGCTTTATTTGTAATAGCCAGAAGCTGGAAACAACCCAGATGCCCCTCAACAGAAGAATGGATTCAGAAATTGTGGTACATCTACACAATGGAATATTACTCAGCAATGAAAAACAAGGAAATCATGATATTTGCAGGTAAATGGTGGAATCTGGAAAGGATCATCCTGAGTGAGCTGTCCCAGAAGCAGAAAGACACATGCGGTATATAATCACTCATATAGACATATAATAGAGGATAAACCTACTAAAATCTGTACACCTAAAGAAACTAATCAAGACAGAGGACCCTGACTAAAATGCTCAATACCCATCCTGAAAGGCAAAGAAGATGGACATCAGAAGAAGAAGGAAACAAGTTAGGAACCTGCCACAAAGGGCCTCCGAAAGGCTCTGCCCTGCAGACTATCAAAGCAGATGCTGAGACTTATGGCCAACTGTTGGGCAAAGTGCATGGAATCTTATGAAAGAAGTGGGAAATAGTAAGATCTGGAGAGGACAGGAACTCCACAAGGAGAGCAACAGAACAAAAAAATTTGAACACAGGGATCTTTCCAGAGACTTAAACTCCAACTAAGTACCAGGCATGGAGATAACCTGGAACTCCTGCACAGATGTAGCCCATGGCAGTTCAGTGTCCAAGTGGATTCCAAAGTAATGGGAACAGGGACAGCCTCTGACATGAACTGATTGGCCTGCTCTTTGATCACCTCCCCCTGAGGGGGGAGCAGCATTACCAGGCCACGGAAGATGACAATGCAGCCACTCCTGATGAGATCAGATGGACTAGGATCAGAAGGAAGGAGAGGAAGACCTCCTCTATCAGCGGACTTGAGGATGGGCATGCATGGAAAAGGGGGAAGGAAGGTGGGATTAGGAGGGGAGGAAGGAGGGGTTTATGGGGGTGGATACAAGTGAATAAAGTGTAATTAATAAAAATTAAAATAAAAAATAAAAAAAA